TAAATGAGTGAAATACCTAACAGCAACAATCTTCAGTGAATTAAACGTTTGTCCAACCGACAATGTTTGGTCTGTCTCAATCTTTATCATTGAAGGTTTTATCTGAATATTTCCTGGTTGAAGCTGCAGTAATTGAGTATTAAAAATGTTAGAAGAGCAAGAAAGTGTACTTACAGCTCATAAAAAAATGAGGTCACTTCGTAAAATCCTATGCAGAGTTGATATGCGGAGCAAACTTCGCATTATGCAGAGTTCGTGTGAGGAGTGAACTCCGCATTATGTGGAGATCCTGTGCGGTACTCCGCATAATGCGGAGTTTGCTTCACACACTACTCCGTATAATACAGAGCTTGTGCTTGAATTTTTTTTTCACTTCATACATAAATAGAATTACAATTTATTCCTTGTCCTCCTCCCGTCCATTTTACAAAGTTTGAGACATGAACCATGAACTCCGCATTATGCGGAGTTCATGGCTCATGTCTCCAAATTCTATGGAGTTGTCTCCATAGAATTTGGAGATACAGCACTTCGGGTTTGTTTGTAGGCAGTCACCATTTCAAAGAGAGGAAAAAATGGGCTCAATTGGACGACTTCAACTCCGCATAATGCGGAGTTGATTGCTGAAATTAAGCAACAGCCTTTCAATTCAATTAGCTATTATGATTAAAATTTAACAGTTTAAGACTATATAATGATGTACATAAGTACAATAAAGCCATAAATAACGTTCACCGGCATTGATCAATGTCCAAGCAAGAATATCAAAATGTGGTTCCCAAAAAAATAATCAAATGAGATTCAATGAAACCGCAATGATATTGAGAAGAAAATGTAACTAATTACCTAATTCACATAATCTAACAGTATAAAAATTGCCGCAAGATTGAATTACACTTAGCCCAACCAGAGGAGCAAATCTAAGGTTTTCCATAACCAGGAAAAAAATAAAACTCAAAATTTGTACCTGACATAACAGACAAAATGCATAAAAATCTGACTTCGAAAGCTTCCAGTAATCTCCAAACGCTCAATCTTTTCTTCATTCTGAATATATTATGATCATTGGGGGTGCAAAAAATATTTATTCATAAAAATATCAGTTGCAAGTTTCCGTCTGTATATATTCATCCTCTTTGAGTCAACTGTTTCTAATGGGAAGTCCGAAATGAAACATTCTATAAATTTGAGTATGAATAATATGCAGTTTGGCCTGTAAAAAAATGATTTTTGTTAGATAAAGATAGTATTATATATGTGAAATGAAATAGAGATACGTAGATAGTATTTAAATGTTTACCCATTGTTTGCACAAGATAAATAATGTATGATGTCCAGTTGCAGTTTCCTGTTTGTATGTCTGCTCAAATCTTGTCTATCGAACAAAAATGTTGGACATGATAATAGTTTATCAACATAAGTGTATACTACATTTGTTGTTCAGTATGTTCATCGTTGCTACAATCAT